GGTTTACAGTTCAGATATTAATCATCATCATATTAGTCAAGAGAGACACTTGTCCTTGTAGTCATGTCTGGAGGCGAGCCATTTGCTCAGAGAGAGAGAGAGAGAGAGAGAGAGACGGGCCTCTCTCCAGCACATTAGATTACGTGAGCCAGGCCACGGAACAATGCCAGTGCCAAAACCTTTAAAACAGGGCACAGGGTCACCAATCTGTCTACTCCACCATCTTTATGTATGTACACACACACACACAAGCCTCCTACAGTGTACTACCATGGACAAGCAAATCCAAGCACCACCAAACCTAACGTACGTGTGTGTGTGTGTGTGTGTGTGTGTGTGTGTGTGTGTGTGTGTGTGTCTCTCTCTCTCTCACGTTGCGAAGAGTCAAGAAGGGCGGTGATTGCGTGGGTGGGAGATGGTGTGGGTGATGGTGTGGGTGGGTGGGTGATGGTGTGGGTGGGTGGGTGATGTGGGGGTCAATGGGTAGTAGTCTCCACACCAAATCACCCCACCCACCCATTAAAATCACAATCACCACAACTACTACCACAACATCAACAGCTACCACAACACTTACAACTACCATCACCACAACTACTACCACAACACCACCACCACCACATGACCTAATCCCTCCTCCTGACAAAAAGTCGCCATCGGCATTATTCGTGTTAATCGGACGGACCGCTGGAGACAGGGTAGTTATTTTCGTGTCACGGTCGACACTAAACCACATGCACACTACTGCTACCCGGTCCACCTATGCAACGAGGAGGAGGGAACGAAGGAAAAGAGGGGGAACCGAGGGAAGGGAAACGAGAGAAGGGAGGGAAAAGAACGAAAAAGGGAGGTGGAAGGGGGGGAAGAAGAGGGAAGGGGGAAAAAGAGAAGGAAGGGGAAAAGAAAGAGGAAGGGGGGAAGAAGGGGGGAAAAAGGGGAAGGAAGGGGGAAGGGAAGGGGGAAGAAGGGGAAGGAAGAGGGGAAGGGGGAAAGAAGAGGGAAGGGGAAAAAGAAAGAGGAAGGAAGGGGAAGAAGGAAGGAAGGGGAGGGAAAGAAGGAAGAAGGAAGGGGGAAGGGGGGAAGGAAGGAAAAGGGGAAGGAAGGGGAAAAGGAAGGGGAAAAAAAAGGAAGGAAAAAAGGAAAAGGAAAAAAAAGGAAAAAGGAAAAAAAGGGAAAGGGGAAGGAAAAAGGAAGGGGGAAAAAGGGAAGGGGGGGGAAAAAGGGGAAGAAAGGGGGAAAAAGGGAAGGAAAAGAAGGGGAGAAAAGGGGAGATGGAAGGGGAAGGAGACGGAAGGGGGGAGGAGGAAAGGGGGGAAGGAGGAAGGGGGGAGAGGGAAGGGAGGGGAAGGGGAGGGAGGGAGGGGGGAGAGGGAAGGGGGGAGAGGGAAGGGGGAAAGGGGGGAGGAAAGAGTAAGACGGGGTCAAGCAGGACGTTCGCAAGATTTCCTCGTGTTTACAGTGGTTGTAGCGGTGGTAATGGGGCGTGAACACATGCAGCTGACAGGTGTATGGACAGCTGTTATAGGAAGCGTCAACAAACAAGGCGGTTATGGTGTAAACAACGTTCCCATCACACTCTTTTAGCCAAGCTTAGCGTCCATAAAAGTCTCTCCTAACTGACTGACTGACCCACTGAGAAAATTTTTCCTCCTCGTCCTGACCCAATCACCTTGTGCAACGCTGGCAGGGGGTACGAAAAGCCGAGTCCTCTAACGGCAGCCGAGTCCTCTAACAGCAGCCGAGTCCTCTAACGGCATCTGCTCGCTTTCGTCACGTTGTAAACAGACAGCGGGTAAAAAGATGTACACAGCTGTTATAATGTAAACAAACATCAGCTGTTATAATGTAAACAAACATCAGCTGTGACGATGTAAACAGACATATCAACACGATACAACCAGCTGTTATCGAGGGAGCAGCACACAGTTCATAGAGTCATTATGTGGTTGGTACCGTACCGCCCCCTCCCCTCCCTTAACTGTTCCACGACAATCACTCCCCCATTCTCCGCCCCCCACCTCCCCGTCCCACGACCAGTCAACTAGATCCATAAGTTTCAGGTTAAATTAAACACAATGTAAAACCTGAGAGAATATTCTGGTAGTGTCCTCTGTAGTGCGTTGTTGTAACAGTTTATTTAGCCAGAAAAACACAGATACAGAGTGGATAATAATAACAATATTAGTGGTAGAAGTAGTAATGGTAATAGTAGTGGCAATAGTCGTGGTGGTATAAACTTGTAAACACACATACACAAGCCAGGCATACACACTCTCCACCACACCTCAACCAACCACCACATTACATAATACGCCGCTTGGCAACACCTCGCCCTCCCCATACACACTCTCCCCCCATCCCCCCCTCTACGACTTTTGCGACGTTTAATTTGACCTTGAAAACTCTCTCTCTCTCTCTCCCCCCCTCTCTCTCTCTCTAAATCCATCTTGCAAGTTTGGAAGCCAGAGGAGAGGGAGAAAAAGAATATGATGAAAGGAGAAATGTGGGGGAAAAAGAGGGAGGGAGGGGGAGGGGAAGAAAGAAAGGAAGGGGGGAAGAAGAGGGAAGAAAGGGGAGGGGAGGTTCAAGGGAGGGAGGAAAGGTGATGCAAGGAGATGGGGTTATGTGGGGGAAGAGGTGCTGGAGAGGGAAAAAGGGAAGATAGGGAATGATGTCAACAACTGGGCGGGGGAGGGAGTAGGGGAAAAGCGCTGCGTAGTAGAGAAACTTGGGACGGGAGGAAGTACAAGTGGAGAATGCCAGGGGTGAAGGGAGGGAGAAGGGAGAGGAGGAGGAGGAGAAGGGAGGGAAGGGAAGGGAGGGAAGGGAGGGAAGGGAGGGGAGAGGAAGGGAGGGGGAGAGGAAGAGAAGGAAGGGAAGAGGGAGAGGTGGGCAGGGAGATGGGCCAATATCAAACAATCAACTAAACGAAGACAAAATACGAGTATACTTAAGAGGCCGAGAGATCCCCTGTGTGCGTCCATGTGTGTAGTGTGCATATGGCTGTGTGCGTCCATGTGTAGTGTTTTATGGCTGTGTGCGTCCATGTGTAGTGTGCTTTGGGCTGTGTGCGTCCATGTGTGGTGTGTCTATGGCTGTGTGCGTCCATGTGTAGTGTACTTATGGCTGTGTGTCCATGTGTAGTGTGCTTATGGCTGTGTGCGTCCATGTGTAGTGTGCTTATGGTCATGTAGTGTGCTTATGGCTGCGTCCATGTGTGTGCTTATGGCAGTGTGTGCGTCCATGTGTAGTGTGCTTATGGCTGTGTGCGTCCATGTAGTGTACTTATGGCTGTGTGCGTCCATGTGTAGTGTGCTTATGGCGTGTCCATGTGTAGTGTACTTATGGCTGTGTGCGTCCATGTGTAGTGTGCTTATGGCTGTGTGCGTCCATGTGTAGTGTGCTATGGCTTGTGTGCGTCCATGTGTAGTGTGCTTATGGCTGTGTGCGTCCATGTAGTGTGCTTATGGCTGTGTGCTCATGTGTAGTGTGCTTATGGCTGTGTCGTCCATGTAGTGTGCTTATGGTGTGTGCGTCCATGTGTAGTGTATATGGCTGTGCGTCCATGTGTAGTGTGCTTATGGCTTGTGTGCGTCCATGTGTAGTGTGAGTATGGTTGTGCACGTCCATGTGTAGTGTGCTTATGGCTGTGTACGTCCTGGAAGTGAGTATGGTTGTGTACGTCCATGTGTAGTGTGCTTATGGCTGTGTACGTCCATGTGTAGTGTGAGTATGGTAGTCCATAGCTTATGGTTGTGTACGTCCATGTGTAGTGTGCTTATGGTTGTGTACGTCCATGTGTAGGTGGTTGTGTGTACGTCCATGTAGTGTGAGTATGGTTGTGTACGTCCATGTGTGTGTGAGTATGGTTGTGTATCCATGTGTAGTGCTTATGGTTGTGTACGTCCATGTGTAGTGTGCTTATGGTTGTGTACGTCCATGTGTAGTGTGAGTATGGTTGTGTACGTCCATGTGTAGTGTGCTTATGGTTGTGTACGTCCATGTGTAGTGTGATTATGGTTGTGTACGTCCATGTGTAGTGTGCTTATGGTTGTGTACGTCCATGTGTAGTGTGCTTATGGTTGTGCGTCCATGTGTAGTGTGTATGGTTGACGTCCAGTGTAGTGTGCTTATGGTTGATGTCCATGTTGTGTGCTGGTGTGTACGTCCATGTGTAGTGTGCTTATGTATGGTACGTCCATGTGTAGTGTGCTTATGGTTGTGTGCGTCCATGTGTAGTGTGCTTATGGTTGTGTACGTCCATGTGTAGTGTGCTTATGGTTGTGTACGTCCATGTGTAGTGTGCTTATGGTTGTGTACGTCCATGTGTAGTGTGCTTATGGTTGTGTACGTCCATGTGGTGTGTTATATGGTTGTGTACGTCCATGTGTAGTGTGCTTATGGTTGTGTACGTCCATGTGTAGTGTGAGTATGGTTGTGTACGTCCATGTGTAGTGTGCTTATGGTTGTGTACGTCCATGTGTAGTGTGGGTATGGTTGTGTACGTCCATGTGTAGTGTGCTTATGTTGTGTACGTCCATGTGTAGTGCTATGGTTGTGTGCTCCATGTGTAGTGTGGGCTTATGTTGTGTACGTCCATGTGTAGTGCTTATGGTTGTGTACGTCCATGTATAGTGTGTTATGGTCACGTCCATGTGTAGTGTGCTTATGGTTGTGTACGTCCATGTGTAGTGTGCTTATGGTTGTGTGCGTCCATGTGTAGTGTGATAGTGGTTGTACGTCCATGTGTAGTGTGCTTATGGTTGTGTACGTCCATGTGTAGTGTGTTGGTTGTGTACGTCCATGTGTAGTGTGCTTATGGTTGTGTACGTCCATGTGTAGTGTGCTTATGGTTGTGCACGTCCATGTGTAGTGTGCTTATGGTTGTGTACGTCCATGTGGGAGCTATGGTTGTGTGCGTCCATGTGTAGTGTGTGTTATGGTTTGTGTACGTCCATGTAGTGTGCTTATGGTTGTGTACGTCCATGTGTTGTGTGTGCTTATGGCTGTGTACGTCCATGTGTAGTGTGCTTATGGTTGTGTACGTCCATGTGTAGTGTGCTTATGGTTGTACGTCCATGTGTAGTGTGCTTATGGTTGTGTACGTCCATGTGTAGTGTGCTTATGGTTGTGTACGTCCATGTGTGTAGTGTGAGTATGGTTGTGTACGTCCATGTGTAGTGTGAGTATGGCTGTACGTCCATGTGGGTGTGAGTATGGTTGTGTACGTCCATGTGTAGTGTGAGTATGGTTGTACGTCCATGTAGTGTGCTTATGGTTGTGTACGTCCATGTGTAGGAGTATGGTTGTGTATGTCCATGTAGGAGTATGGTTGTGTACGTCCATGTGTGTAGTGTGAGTATGGTTGCATGTCCATGTGTAGTGTGCTGGCATGTGTCCATGTGTAGTGTGCTTATGGTTGTGCACGTGTGTGCTTATGGTTGTGTACGTCCATGTGTGTAGTGTGCTTATGGTTGTGTGTCCATGTGTAGGTGTGCTTATGGCTGTGTGCGTCCATGTGTAGTGTGCTTATGGCTGTGTGTACGTCCATGTGTAGTGTGCTTATGGTTGTGTACGTCCATGTGTAGTGTGCTTATGGTTGTGTACGTCCATGTATAGTGTGCTTATGGTTGTGTACGTCCATGTGTAGTGTGCTTATGGTTGTGTACGTCCATGTGTAGTGTGTATGGTTGTGTACGTCCATGTAGTGGTTGTGCGTCCATTAGTGTGAGTATGCTATCAGGAGTTTATGGTGCATGTCCATGTGTAGTGTGTATGGTTGTGCGGTCCATGTGTAGGTCTGTTACGTCCATGTAGTGTGCTTATGGTTGTGTACGTCCATGTGTAGGCATGTATGGTTGTGTGTCCATGTATAGTGGCTTATGGCTGTGTCCATGTGTATGTGTGCTTATGGTCAGCCCATGTGTAGTGTGTATGGTTGTGTACGTCCATGTAGTGTGCTTATGGTTGGCCATGTGTGTACGTCCATGTGTAGTGTGTATGGCTGTGTGCGTCCATGTGTAGTGTGCTTATACGTACGTCCATGTGTAGTGTAGCTATGGTTGTGTACGTCCATGTGTAGTGTGAGTACATGGTACGTCCATGTGTAGTGAGTATGGTTGTGTACGTCCATGTATAGTGTGTGTTATGGTTGTGTACGTCCATGTGTGTAGAGTATATGGTATGTGAAAACTCCATGTGTGTGTGCTTATGGTTGTGTACGTCCATGTGTAGTGTGTAGGTATGTATGCGTCCATGTAGTGTGCTTATCTTGTACGTCCATGTGTAGTGTGAGTATGGCTGTGTACGTCCATGTGTAGTGTGCTGCATGGTATGTCCATGTATGCTTATTGTGTGCGTCCATGTGTAGTGTGTGGCTGTGTGCGTCCATGTGTAGTGCTTATGGCTGTGTCCATGTGTGAGTGTATATGGCTGTGTCCATGTGTGTGTGTGTGCTTATGGCTGTGGCGTCCATGTGTAGTGTACATGGCTGTGTGCGTCCATGTGTAGTGTGCATGGCTGTGCGTCCATGTGTAGTGTGCTTATGGCTGTGTGCGTCAATGTGTAGTGTGCTTATGGCTGTGTACGTCCATGTGTAGTGTGCTTATGGCTGTGTGCGTCCATGTGTAGTGCTATGGCTGCGTCCATGGTGTGCTTTGGCTGCATGTGTCCATGTGTAGTGTACTATGGCTGTGTGTCCATGTAGGTGTGCTTATGGCTGTGCGTCCATGTGTAGTGTGCTTATGGCTGTGTGGTCCATGTGTAGTGTACTTATGGCTGTGTGCGTCCATGTGTAGTGTGCTTATGGCTGCATATAGTCTCAAAAGTCTCTCTCTCCCCACCTCACCCCCCTGACCAGCTTTCTAATGTCGGTTCAAATTAACAAAGACATACTGAGCATTAACAACACACACACACACGTGAATGAAGCAGCAGCAGCAGCAGTGGAATCATCTTCTAACAGCTCGGACAAGACGTCATGTTTTATATCACCTGCTGCCCGCCCCCCACACACACAAAAAGAGAGAGAGAGAGAGAGAGAGAGAGAGAGAGAGAGAGAGACTAGCTATGTACAAACTAGTCAACAAAGGGTTAAGTCATCGTGTTTAAAGGGTTAAGTCATCGTGTTTAAAGGGTTATCATCGTGTTTAAAGGTTGTCATCGTGTTCAGAGGCCAAGACACATAAGCATTCTCTTTCCTGCGTACACACACACACACACACACACACCTTCCTGGTTGCCACTGGCCGCCTTCATATTTAGGACATCTTCCTGATGGAGGAGGAGAGGAGGATGAGAGATGAAAACATCGTTTATATTGAAAAATATACTCCTCCTCTATCCCACTTCTCTATCACTCCTCCCTCCTCCTCCTCCTCCCACACCTCTACCTCCACCTCCTCTCTTCAGTCACCAGAAGTCATCGGGTAGAGAAGGAGGGAGGGAGGGGAGGGAGGGAGGGAGGAAGGACGGAGGGGGGGTAGGGAGGGGGAGGCGTGTCCGTCTGGTTGGGTCCCAGTGTTGGAGCAAACCCCAGGCATCAGCTGTCTCTGTGCAACCCCCACCCCACCCAGTGCCAAACAGGCACTACACCACCACTGCTATATCACATTTTTATGTTATTTTAATTTTAATATCATACTCATATTATTTTCTTATCAGTCAATGTAAATCAAATCAAATCTTTTAACCAAACCAAACATAACCAAACAATAACCAACCCAACATAACCAACCAAACATAACCAACCCAACATAACCAAACCCAACATAACCTAACCAAACATAACCAACCCTAACATAACCAAACATAACATAACCAACAACCTAACCAAATCACAACCAACCCAACATAACCAAACCTAACATAACCAACCAAACATAACCCTCAACATACCTAAAACCAAAACATAACCAACCCAACACAACCAACACAAACCAACCTAATAAACCAAACCAAATAACCAACCTAAATAACCAACCTAACATAACAACCTTAAGATAACCAACCCAACAAACCAAACAACATAACCAAACCTAACATAACCAAACCTAAATAAACCAAACCAAACATAACCAACCTAACATAACCAAACCAAACATAACCAACCCTAACATAACCTAACCAAACATAACCAACCAAAACCTAACATAACGGATGGGTCCCGGTGTCTGAAGCCATATGGTTAAACGGTTGTGTTGCCGGGAGTGTTACATTTTATTTGACCTTCAGGAGTCCTGCACGACGGCGTGGAGGAGGAGGAGGAGAAATGGGGTATAGGGGGGGAATAAAAGCGGAGAGAAGGGGTGTGGTGTGGGGGGGGCAGGTGTGAGAAAGGAGAAAGAAGAAAGAAGGAAGGAAAAGAAGGAGAGAAGATGAAAGAAAAAATATAAAGAAAGAGAAGAGAAGGAGAAATAGATGAAGAGGAGGCGGAGAGAGGAAGGAAGCACAACAGGAGACGGAGGAAGTTCAGAAGGAAAGAGAAAGGAAGATAAGACTTGGGAGAGAGAGAGAGAGATATTAGTCTATGAACTTTAATGACATCGCAGCAATACAACTTGGCCTCATCTCAGTAGTTCAATCAGGACTTGGCACCGAGGATGGCACTGAGATATGTTGTCCTCCTCCCACCGCAACACACACACACACACACACACACACACACAGGAGATAAAAAACCAGGTAAGATTTATTTTGTGTTCAGAGATAGAATAAAAAAGGTGTGGACCGGAAAATTCTAGATTGGACTGTCAGGATATCGCCAAGGACTCCTGATCCAATGTAGTGGGACCTCTTGTTGTGTTGGCTAGACTGGTGAGTGTGGGGGAAGACGAGGGGGGTGGAAAGAGGAGGAAGACAAGGGAGGGGGGGAAGACAAGGGAGGGGGGGAAGACAAGGGGAGGGGGAAGACAAGGAGGGGGGAAGACAAGGGGAGGGGGAAGACAAGGGAGGGGGGAAGACAAGGGAGGAAGACAAGGAGGGAAGATAAGGGAGAGGGGAAGATATGAGGGGGGAAGACAAGGGAAGGGGAAGATAAGGGAAGGGGAAGACAAGGGAGGGGGGAGACAAGGGGGTGTGGAAGACAAGGGAGGGGGAAGACAGTGGAGGGTAAAAGACAAGTGGGGTGAAAGAAAAGGGAGGGGGGAAGATACAGGAGAGGAAGACAAGGGTGGGAGGAAGACAAGGAAGAGGGGAAGACAAGGGAGAGAGGATGACACGGGAGAAAGGATGATATGGGAGAAGGGAAGACAAGGGGAAAGACACGGGAGGGAGGAAGACACGGGGGGAAGACAAGGAATGGAGGAAGCCACAACAGCGGGACCACATGACTGACGCTCCAGGAGTGTGAGTCAGAGAGGCACAAACCCTAGAGCCATGGCAGGGCGTTCAAGGGTCACCACCACCCCCTGATAACACCCCCTGACAACACCTACTCTGGAACATGGAGGGCAGAGGGTGTGGGAGGAAGAGTGGAGACGAGTAGTGTGTGGGAGAAGGAGTGGGGGATGGATTGAAAGAGGAAGGGAAAATGGGATGTAAGAGGAGGGAGAAAAGAAAAGAGGAGGAGGAGAGCAACATCACCTCCTCATCAACAATCTTCAACTCAATACATCAACGCCACAAAGTTGTTTACATTACGAGTTGTAAACAAAAGAGTTAAATAGTTTCCAAGTCATTCTTCTGTGTGTGTGTGTGTGTGTGTGTGTGTGTGTGTGTGTGTGTGTGTGTGTGTGTCTGTGTGTGTGTGTGTGTGTGTGTGTCTGTGTGTGTGTGTGTGTGTGTGTGTGTGTGTGTGTGTAAAGTAAATACACCACCTCTTTACACTCTCTCTCCTCTTAATTACCACCACACCTGTAATATACACCTGAAACTGCTCCCGTAGTTCTGAATAAAATTATAATCTTTACCCCAGACCAGACAAGGAGTGGGGAAGCAGAGACACTTACCTGTATCACATGATCGACTACAACATCCATTAACATACCTGCGAGAAGAGAAAAACAATCGTTAATTACAGGTATTATTAGATAAAACAACACGCACACCTGTAAGAGAGAAAGAAATACAAGTATATAAAACAACTAAGGTAAACTATGTATACCTGAGAGAGAGAGAGAGAGAGAGAGAGAGAGAGAGGAGGGGGATATTCGCCTACTAAATTTTGTTTGCTTCGAACACCTTCCAGAACATAACAAGACCAGCGTCCCTCTACAGTACAGTGTATGACAACCCAGACAGAGAACGTGTTATTAATAAACATATAAACACGAGATAATTACATCAAATTACTGAGGTAGAAGAACTCGGTGACTGGTGAAGCGTAAGATCAAGTATTACGTTGTCATGATGCCCACGTTCATCATCTCCCTCCCTCCCCTCCCCGTGTGTGTCGCCCTGGTGA